CTTTAGTATTCGACTAACTGTCGTCCGACATCGACTGACTGACCGACTGACTGACCGACGATATTCAGTCACCCCCCACGAGGGAATCATGTGGCACAAGGCCTTTTTAACGTGGGATCTCCGAGCCCGTGGGCTCGGCCAAAAATATGCCCATTGAACCCCTATAAACGGGTTCAGGGTCGGTTTACCTCCCCGAAAGAGAATCCGCCCTTCGGCGTAGCCTCGTTCGGGTTCCTCCCCGCCCGAAGGCAGAGAGTTCAACTGATCAGCCAGTCGACTGACTGACCGACTCCCTCGTTACTCTTATTACTCCTACTTATTATAGGGGGTAGAGTCTATTAACTATAGAATAGGTGTGTTCCACTTTTTAACAAAAAGGATTCCTTAAAATTGCAGAACTTCAATTTCATTAATTGGGGTCCAAAATTATTCAATTTTACATATCCAATGCACGATTTTTAGAAATTCCAATTTTTAGGTGAAATATATTTATGAAAAATTTTTAAATTTCTCACCTCCTTTAGTTTTTTTCCTTTCTTTTTTTCTTAAAATCTTCTTTATAAGAACCTATTTATATTTCTTCCGCATTTCTTCTTCTTTTTTTTTTTTTGTTTTTTCCTTTTTTCAGGAAATTTCATCCTTTCTCTCTATTTTTCCCACGCGATCTTTTCAAACGAAAAAGTAAATTAAAAGTATTTTCGTCTTTCTTTTTTTCTGTGATTCTTGCCTTTCTTTCTCCCTATTTCTTTTCGTATCCATCTCTCCTTTTCTTTCCTAACTTCCTTCCAGTGTTTCTTTTATTTCTTTACGTCTTTCAATGGCCTTTTCTTTTTCTTTTTTTTTTGTCCATTCCTCAAAAACGACAAGAACATATTTATTTCTTCCCTAGTCGCTGTCAACCATTTTTTTTAATCTTTTCCATTTACCAATATTATTCCCACTCCTACTTTCTCTTTATCGAATTAATTTTATTGTCGTTTTTTCACCTGTAATATTCATTTACCTTTCATTACCAATTCCAGAGAAAGATATCACTGCAAGAGAGGTACACTTTTCCAGGAGGCAGAGGACAACTTTACACGATCTTTTAATGAAGCGTAGGTTCTGCAGAAGGAAATTGAATTCCATCAAATTATTCTTTTAAATGAAAAATTTTTAAAAAAAATAACAAAAGAAATTCTTGTCTAATCAACAAGCAAATTTGTTATAATGAATATTTCTTTTTTTTTTTTTTCTTTTTTTAAGAATCTCTTCTAGCCTGTTAATTTCTTTCATCATATCCTTATTCTAAAAAAAATTTTGATATGTACAATTTTTTTATTCAAAGAGAGATACTGTTCCAGGTTTTTTCCTATAAATTATTCAAATATTGAATTCAGTATTTTTAAAGTTTGTTTTTTTTTCATATTTCATAATTTTTCAGCTTTTTTAACCATTACGACGATAGAGTCTTGTAGGCGGTTGTCATTCAAATTTCAAAATTACACGTTAATTCATTTTATGTTGAGGAATATAAATTGTTTACAAGAAAAGAAACACCAGTTAAAAATCTTTTTTTTCCTATTTCAAATTTCTGGAAAATCTTAATTCTTCAGTTTCTATGAAAATTAAGCTTTCATGGCGAGTTCTACGACAATAAAATATCCGTAAAAATTGTGGTATCGCATCGTTAAAATTTGAAAATAAATTTAACAAAATATTGCATTAACAACCAGGAAAAGATTAATTTTTATTTTTGCCTTTTTTCTTTTATTCAAAGAAATCGAAAACTTAAATATTTTATCGTCTAAATTTTTTTTTTCTTTCTTTCTTTTGTTTAAAATTTGTTTCTTTTGTTTGTTTTTTCTTTTTTTTTTTTTTTTTTGTTCCTTTTTTTCTAATTTTAATTTAATTATTCTTTTTTATTTCCACATTCTTTTTTTCTTTCTTTTTTTTTTTTTTTTTTCATTTCTTTTCTTTCTTTGAATTTTTTTTTTTTTTTTATTTGGGAATTTTTTTTCTAATTTTTTTTTTTTTCTTTCTTTTTTTTTTCATTTTTTTTTTTTCTTTTTTTTTTTTTTTTTTTTTTTCTGAATTTTTTTCCATTTTCATTTTTTTTTTTTTTCTTTCTTTTTTTTTTCTTTATTTTTTTTCTTTAAATTTTTTTTTTTTTTTTTTTATTTTTATCATTTTGCATTTTCACTTCAATTTTTTTTTCTTTTATTTAATTTTTTTTTTTCAAATTTTTTTTTTTTTTTCTTTATTTCTTTTTTTTTTTATTTTTTATTTTTTGATCTATTTTGAAATAAGCTTTTTTTTAAATAATTTTTTTCTTTCTTAATTATTTTTTTTTTCTTTCTTTTTTTAGAATTTTTTTTTTTTTTTTGAATATTTTTTAGAATTTTTTTATTGAATTTTTCAAATTATTTAGTTTAAATTGTTAAATTTTTGGTTTTAAAATTATTGATAAATTATATATTTTTTTTTTCTTTTTAGGCCATGACCAAAACATTTTCTTCCAATTTTTCCTTATTTTCAATTAAAAAAAAGAAATCTATTTGAATTCAAAATGAATTTTAATTTTTTGGAAGAATATGTATTAATAATATTTTAAATTGCTAAAAATTCTATGAAAATTTTCAAATATTTTATTCAGGAAAATGAATTGAAAGAATGAAAAAATTTTGGTTCAAAAAATGGAACAAATTTTTTTTCTTGATTATGGAAAATGACTTTTTTTTAAAATTCAAAATAAATATTAATCGAAAAAAGTTTTATTTCCTATCATCTTTGACTTATTTAAAATTTGATAAATAAACGTTTTTTGCCGATAAGAAAATATTTTTGGCCCAGGCTTGAAACGTAATATACAGATTTTTTTTTGCTTTTAATACGACGACTATTGTTTGTTATTTCCGAATAGAAAAATAATTTTTTTTTTTTTTTTTCCTATTTTAATATTCTATATTTGATATTTGTTTTATCTATTTTAATAAAATATCAGTTTTATATCATTAAATATTTGATATAAAAATAAATAAATATTGCAATTAAAAATCATTTGAAAAAATGTAGAAATTGTCAATTTTTCCATTTTAAAAGAAACCATATTTTATTTTATATATCTTTTTATAATACCAATTTTTTTGTTTATAAATGAAATATTAAATATTTTATATATAATAAAATGGTATAGTTATATTAAAAAAGTTTTATTTTTGGCAGGAGATAATAATAAATGGACATATCATCAAATTATTTCTTTTTTTAATTTTCCAATGAAACCAAGTTGCGTAAATGATATATGAATTTCCGTCATTCCATCGTTACCAAAAGTAAAATTTAATAAGTATTCATAATTTAAATTGAATTTTTATTCATTTTTTTAAAATAATTGGAAACAAATAAGGATAAACTAAATAACAAAGCCAGATAAGCAATCATATTATATGAACGTTGCTAATTTAATGCATTATTTAAATTTTTCATTGACTAAATTCAATAAAATATAATGTGAATCAAAATTTTTATTTATTGGTTCTTTCCATATTTAATTTATTTAATAATATTAAAATAAAAAAATATTTTTAAATAAATTTTTAAATGTTAAATTTTTTTTTTTTTAGATTTCTTTTGAAATTAAAATGTCAAAAAAATTTAAATTATATGTTAAATGTAATTTCAAAAATAATTTGTGATATTTTTTTAAAAATTATTTATGGAAAATATTAAAAAAATATATATATATATATATATATATATATATATAATATATATATATATATATATATACAAAATTTAATATTTATATATATATATATATAAAAATATTTATATAAAAAAATTTATGTAAATATTATTTATATAAATATTAAATTTCTTTAAAAGAATTTTTCCTGAATATTCCAAAAAAAATTTTTTTTACTTTTTGGCTAAATGAAAATAAACATCACAAATTTAAAAATCAAAAATTTATAAATAAACAGAAAAATTTTGGATTTTAAAACAAATCATGTTTTGAGTTTAATCTCATAAATTCAGGATGGTATAAATTATTATTAATATTTTTTTATTTTAAATTTTTATTTTAAATAATAATTGCATATATAAAAAACAAAAATAAAAATGATATATATATATATTATAAATAGAAATAAAATTAAAAATAAGTATATATTTATATAAAATATTTTAATAAAATTTCAAAATTTTTTTAAAATTTTACATACATTTCAGAGATTTATTAAATTTATATATAAAAGAAATGATGGATTTTTTATAGTAATTAAATAATTTTAAAAATATTCCATCCAATAATCAAAGAGGGTGAAAAAGATATTTTTTGCATTTTAAAAAAAATTTTTTTTTTTGAAAAACGATTTTTGTTTTAAAAAATATTTATCCTTTAAATAAAAAAATTAAATGAATTTTTTATTAAAAATTATTTAACATATTTGAGAAAATAAAAAAATGTCAAAACTTGATTTATATATTTATAATAAATTTAATTTATAATTTTTATCTTTTATTATTAAAAATCATTTATTTATCTTCTAATTAAAAAGTCTATTTACTTTATTTATCTATATAGATCTATTTTTACATATTTTTTTTTACATAAATTATTATTTATTTATCTTTCTATCCAATAGTTATCTATCTATCTATCATTTATTGATCATAAATTTGTATAAATATAACTATTTATCTTATCTATCTATCTATATATAATTAAAATATAGAATCAATCTATCTTTGTTTTCTTTTAAAAATTCATATATATAGATTGAATTTTTATATAGAAATTAAAAAATAAATAAATAAATCTATCTATCTATATATATATATATATATCTATTTTATTATTTAAATCTTGATATATAATTGATTTAAAGATTTATCTATCTTCTAAAATCAAAATAAAATCTATATTATCTATTTTTTCAGTTTTATTTATATCTATTTTCTATCTATCTATCTAAAATATATCTATTTTATAGATTTTTTTATATATATATAAGAATCTATCTATCCAATCTATAATAAAAAATTCTATCAATCTATCCATTTATCTATCTATCTATCTATCTATCTATCATATATTTATTTGTCTATTTTCATTAATCTATCTATTGATCTATTATCATTATTTATCAATCCATTTAAAATTCATCATTATCTCATTATCTGTTCTATTTCAAGAAATCTATCTATCTATCTATCTATTAATTCAGTTTATCTAAAATTATCTATCCATTCATTCTATCTATCTATCCGTTGTAAATATTATCTAATTTATCTATTCATCTATCTATCATATCTATATCATCATTATCTATCAAATATCTATCTATTTATTATCTATCTCTATTCTATCTAAATATCTATTTCAAAACGTTTCAAATCATCCATCTATTTTATCTATCTATCTATCTATCTATCTATCAATCAAAAATTTATCTATTCATATCTATTCATCTATCTATCTATCTATCTATTATCTATCTATCTATCTATCATCTATCTATCTATCTATCTATCTATCTATTTATCTATCTTTTATCTATCAATCATATCATATCCATATATCTATCTATCTTTTCATTTCTATCTATCTATTAAATAATCTATCTATCTATCTATCTATCTCATTCATATTCATCTATTTATCTATCTATCTATCTATCTATCTATCTATCTTCTATCTATCTATCTATCTATCTCATCCATCTATTCATTCTTTTTTCTTCATCTATTTTATCCCTTTTATCTATTCATCTATTTTTCATCTATCTATCTATCATCTATCTATCTATCTATTCATCTATTCATCTCATCTATCTTCTATCTATCTATTCATCTATCTATCTATCTATCTATCTATCTATCTATCTATCTATCTATCTATCTATCTATCTATCTATCTATATTTATTTCTATCTATCTATCTATCTATCTATCTATCTATCTATTCATCATCATCTCTATCTATCTATCTATTTATATATATCTATATTTATCTCATATCATCATCTATCTATATCATTTATCTATCTATCTATCTATCTATCTATCTATCTCATTCATCTATCTATCTATCTATCTATCTATTATCTATATCATATCATCTATCTATCCATTCATCTATCTATCTATCAATTATCTATCTATCTCTATCTATCTATCTATCTATCTATTATCTATCTATTCATCTATCTATCTATCTATCTATCTATCTATCTATCTATCTATCTATCTATCTATCTATCTATCTATCTCTATCTATCTATCTATCTATCTATCTATCTATCTCATCTATCTATCTATCTATCTATCTATCTATCTATCTTCTATTCATCTATTCATTATCTATCTATCTATCTATCTATCATCTATCATCTCATCTATCTATCATTCATCTATCTATCTATCTATCTATTCTATCTCATTCATCTATCTATCTATCTTATCTATCTATCTATCTATCATCATATCTATCTATCTATATCTATCTATCTTCATCTTCATTTCATCATCTATCTATCTATCTATCTATCTATCTATCTCATCTATTCATCTATCTATCTATCTATCTATCTATCTATCTATCTATCTATCTATCTCATCTATCTATTCATCTATCTATCTATCTATCTATCTATCTATCATTCTTCATCTATCTCTATCTATCTATCTATTCATTCATTCATTCATCTCTATCTATCTATCTATCTATCATCATCTATCTATCTATCTATCTATCTATCTATCTATCTATCTATCTATCTATCTATCTATCTATATCTATCTATCTATTCATATTCATCTATCTATCTATTTCTATCTATCTATCTATCTATCTATCTATCATTCTATCTCATTCTCATCTATCTATCATCTATCTATCTATCTATCTATCTATTCATATCTATCTATCTATCTATCTATCTATCTATCTATCTATCTATCTATCTATCTATATCTATTCATTCATATCTCTATCTATCTATCTATCTATCTATCTATCTATCATATCTTCATCTCTATCTATCATCTATCTATCTATTCATTCATCTATCTATTCATCTATATTCATTCATTTATCTATCTATCTATCTATCTATCATCTATAGTCTGTCATTATCTATTATCTATCTATCTATCTATCTATCTATCTATCTATCTTATTTTCTTATCTATTATCTATCATATCATTCATTATTTCTCTATCTATCTATCTATCTATTTATCTATTTATAATTCATTCAATCTTCATTTCATATCTATCTATTCTATCTATCTATTTATCTATCTATCTATCTATCTTGATCTTATCATTTCAATATCTATCTTTTATTTATATCTATCAATATTATCTATCTATCTATCTATTATTTATCTATTTATCTATCTAATTTATCATCTATCAATCTATCTATCTATTTCTATCTATTTCTATATATCTATCTATCTATCTATCTATATATTTCTATCTATCTAATAGAATATGTATCATATTATTTATTTAAATTTAGATCTAATCTATTTAAAAATTCTATCTATCTATATTCATCTTTTTATTCATCTTAATTTAAAAATTATATTTCTATCTATCTATCTTTATTATTTATCTATTATCTATCTATCCATCTATCTGTTCTCATCCATCTATTTATCTATCTTCAATCATTTTCATTTATATATCTATCTATCTATTTTTTATCTATTGATTTATTTATCTATCTCTATTATTTCTATCAATTTTTCATTCTTCTATCTATCTTTCTATCTATATTTTTCATTTTTCATCTATTTTTTTATTATCTATCTTATCTATCTATCAAATTTTTCATCTTTTATTATCCATTTATCTATAATATCTATCTATCTATATTCATTATCCATCTTTCTATCATATATCTATATCATTTATTTTCATTTAAATTTCTTATTTTATTCAGTTTCTATATATTTCTTTTTATCTATCTATTTTTCTATTCATTCATCTATCTATCTATTGTATCTATCTATCTATTTATTATCGTATTATCATTATCACATATATATCTATTTATCTATCTATTTATTCTATCTATCATCTAGAATCTTCTATATTTGATTTCATTTATCTATTCATCTATCAATCTATCATTATATCAGATCATATTCATTCTATCATCAAATTTATCTATCTATTCAATATCTATCTATTTATCAATCTATTTATCTTTATATATTTTATTGGTATTATTCATCATTTATTTATCTATCTATCTATCTTTGATCTATAGATCTATCTATTTGTTCATGTTGTTTCATTTCTATTTTTAAAAGATTTGAAATATCTATTTTTATATATCTATATATATATTATCTATATATCTATCCATTAATTCTATCCATCTATCTAAATTCATTCTATCTATCTATCTATCTATCATCTATCAATTCTTTATATATATATTATCTATATATATAATATATATCTATATATATATATATTTCTATGATTATCTTTATCTATTCATATCATCAATATTCACTATTTATCTGTTCTATCTATCTATTTAAAGATTTTTTCATCTATTTATTCATTTATTATCTATCTATCTATATATCTATATATTATCCATCTATCTATTGACATTATATATTATAATTGATTTATCCATTGATCTATCTATCCATCATTTATTTATCTATTTATTTCATTTTTTGTTTTAAATAATTTTACTATTTATTTTTTATATAAATATCACATTATCTATTTATTTTATTTTTCCATTTTAAATATCTATAATCTTGGTTTTTCATTTGCATCCTTTTAGTCCATTTATCTTTATATAATATATCTATCTTTATATAAAATAAAATAAATATATTATATATATTCATTCATTAATTTATTGAAAGAAATTTATTTAATTATATATTATAACATCTATCGATTAAAATATCAATTCAATTTTTATTTTTTCCATCTATTACATTTATTTTTATCTGATTTTTTTCACAAAATTTAAAGATTTTTGATAAATTATTTATTTAATATAATATATATCTAAATCAAGAATTTGTTTTACATTCAAATTTATCTTCTATCTTTATATCTTTTTTTTTTTTCTGAAATTTCATCTGAAAAGAAACTTTAAATTTTAAAATTTTTTTTTGATATCTTTCATTATGAAATATCAATTGTTTATCTATCCATCTTTATGAATATTTATTTAAAAGTTTCACAAAATAATCTATCTTATAGTATCTATCTTCTTTCTATCCTAATAAATCCATCTAATAATGTATTTAGATATTTTCTATATATCATCTAGGTTTATTTATTTAATCATATTTTTTCTATCCATTTTTCAATATTTATTTACTTATCTATTGATTTCAATAATTGAAAAAATTTCTTTTTATAGATTTATCTAAACATAATGAATCAAAAATTAATTTTTATTTATTTTAATATTTTCATCAATAATTGATTTATATTTTTTATTTTGTTTTTTTATAAAAAATTAATTCAAAAAAGATAGGCACATATAGATTTTTATTTAATCTGATAAATAAATTTATAAATATTAAATATCCATCTATATTTATAAAATTCTTTATATATATTATAAAATATTTTATTCCATCTAATTTTATTAAATAATAAAGATTTCATATGCTTTTTAATCCATTTATTTAATAAATATTGGATAAAAAACCAAAACATTTTATAAATTTGTTATTTATATTTATCAAGGCTATTTTTATAAATTTTTAAAAAAATAATTTATCTATTTTCATTCTATGATTAAATATCTTTTACCAATCTATTTATCTATTAATAAATCTTTTTTTTTTTTTATCAAAAATCATTTAATTTCATTTTAAACATTGAATTTCCAATATTTTCTCTATCAATAGTATTAAAACATATTTAAAATATCTGTAATATATATATTTTTAGATTTTATTTATCTAAATATACAAATAATTATTTATTGGTGTGATCCATTTTTATATTTATTTTTATTTATAGAAATAAATATTGTTTAAGAGTCTTTTTAATATTTTTATATCTCAGAAATTGGTTATTTATATATTAATTTCTTTTTTATCTAGAAATTTTATTAAAATGAATTTTTTATATATATTCTTTTGTTCTATCATTTAACTATCAATATCTTCATTTTTTATATTCATTTATTGATCTATTTTTATTTTTGAATTATTTTAAATTTATAATTTTAAATTCTATGAAAATATTTTATAAAAATCTATTGATTTTTCATAAATCAAATTTATTATTTTAAATGTTAATTTTGAATATATTTATATATATTCTATCCATAAATAAAATAAAGAAATATAAGATAATATACAATTTATGTATTAAATATTTTATTAGTTTGATTAAAAATTCATAAAAAAAATAAAACATGAATAAATTTTTTATTTTATTTGAGAATTCAGATTAGTTTCACATTATATTTTTCTGATTAATTTATTTCTATTTTTCGATTTGATTTTTTATATTTATAAATTATAAATAATATTTATTCCACTTAAAGAAATATCATAAGTATAATTTTTGAAATTTATCAATTTTTAAAAATTATTGAAAATAAAACTGTTTGTAATATGAATCTTTTTTTTTTTTTTATTCATTGAACATTTATCACACCATTCATCTATTTAAATAAAGGAAATAAATTCATGACAAGGAAATTTCAAATGAAAATAAAATTTTTTTTTATTTTTTCAAAAAAAAAAAAGTTTTAACATAAATTGAAATATTTAAATTGTTTTTATTTTCTTTTAAATATTGAGCAAATAAAATATTTAGAAAGTAAACTGACATAAAATATGTGAATTGAAATTTTTATAAAATATAAAAATTATTTAAATTTATGATTAAATATTTATTAAAATATATTGATAATTTTTCAATTTGAAGAATATTCCAGGATGTGATGAAAATAAAACATAGTGTTTGAAAGGCCATTAAATGTCCAAATATTTCCAAATTTTAACAAAACAGAGCAATTTTTCCCAAAATTCCAAATTGAAACAGATGGATTATTTAATAATTTTAGTTAACCATGATATTATAGATGAAAATAAACATTTATGGATCTGGCTTTTAAGAATTGTTGAAAATAAATTTATTTGTATTTTTCCATTTCACATTTTCAAATATAAAAAAAAAAAAAAAAAAAATAAATATTTGAAAAGATAAATAAAATGATAAATTTCATATGTCATTATTAGAAACTTTGATATTTTTTTTAAATTTTAAATTGTTACATAATAACCCAAAAGGATAACTTTTTGTTTTATAAAAAGATTCCTTTTTTTTTAGTTTTAAATTTATGAAGTTTTCCCCAGTTTAGACTAAAAATTTTGGCAATTTTTTCGTTTTTTAAGATTAGAAAATTATTTATATATATAAAAAAAAAAAACAACAAAAATCATGTCAATAAAAAATTTATTTTGAAAGTATAAATTTATGTATAAAATATCTTTTGGTTTATAAATTTTTTACCAAATATTTATATTTTTTATATTAAATTTAACAGTATAAATATTGATATGATATCTTCACAATCAAAAAAATAAATCTTTTCATCCTGCTAATCATTCAAAAATTCTTGAAATGGTTTAAAATTATATTAAAAAGAAAAATATAAAGAAAATACATATTATTCAGATTTATAAATAAATAAAGTTTATATATATATATATGGCATTTAAAAAAAATCAGCCAATCTAATCTTCTTCATTTGCGAGGAGATTGTCCAGCATTCACTGCAATATATGAAGACTGATGTTACATAATAATTCAGCATTCATTTCTTTGTTTCTAACGAAGTTTTTCTGTTTCTTAATACTTTGCTTAGATTCAGGAAGCCATTTTTCTAATGTCACATTAATATAACTGTTCTCTAAAGAAAAAAAAAAAAAAAAAAAAAAACGTTTCCTCGATATTTTCGCATTTCCAATTCTAGCAGAAATAGTACGTTAAATTGAAATGTATTTTAGAATAGAGACAAAAGAGAATCCCTTGCCGTGACTTCTTCCTCTGGAGTTATGGGAAAGGCCTCGGTGTACCTAACTTCCATTACATGCTGTCAGTAAGAATTCCGACATTCCTAGGCTCACTTGATTTCTTCTCATTACTTATGGGATGACACGATAGAATATTTAGCTATCATTTCGGCGTTATACAGGATGTTTCAAAAGTCTATGTCACATTCCAAGAACTCTTTTATCAGGAATTCCAAATGGTAGCATGACTGAACGGGTACGTAGATGATCTGAAGACGCGAATAACTGAAGACTTGGAAACCATCGACGACGCGATGCTTGGACGCGTTTGGCAAGTAGTGGATTATCGTTTGGATGAAAGAAAGAAAGAAAGAAAGAGAGAGAGAGAAAGAGAGAGAGAGAGAAAGGAAGGAAGAAAGAGAGAGAGAGAGAGAGAGAAAGAAAGAAAGAGAGAGAAAGTTGCTCTTCATATAGAGTGTTTCAAAAGTTTATGTCCCATTCTAGGAACTCTTATATCAGGAATACAAATAGTAGCATAATTGAACTGGTACGTGGATGATCTGAAGACGCGAATAACTGAACGCGTTGGTCAATTGGATTTCTCAAAAAAAAGAAAAAAAAGGAAAAGAAAGAAAGAAAGAGAGAAAAAAAAGAAGAGAGAAAAAAGAGAGAGAAAGAAAGAGAAATAAATAAATAAATAAATAAATAAATAAATAAATAAAGAAAGAAAGAAAGAAAGAAGTGTTTAATGTTGTCTGCTAATAAAAGGCTATTCCGTTTTGATCGCGTGGAAAATGAGAAGAAAGAAAGAAAGAAAGGGCGAGAGAGAAAGAAAGGGCGAAAGAAAGAAAGAAAGAAAGGGCGAAAGAGAAAGAAAGAAAGAAAGAAAGAAAGGGCTTTGAAGAACGAAAAGAAAGAAAAAAGAAAGAAAAAAGAAAGAAAAGAAAAAAAGAAAAGAGAAAGAAAGAAAAAAAAAAAGAAAAGAAAAGAAAGAAAGAGATGGAAATGCAGAATAGATTAAAAGAAAAGCTTGAAGCAAGAAAGAAAGAAAGAAAGAAAGAAAGAAAGAAAGAAAGAAAGAAAGAAAGAAAAAAGAGAGAAAGAAAGAAAGAAAGAAAGTAAGGGCCAAAGAGAAAGAAAGAAAGAGAGAAAGAAAGAAAGAAAGAAAGAGAGAAAGAAAGAAAGAAAGGGAGAAAGAAAAAAAAAGAAAGAAAGAAGTGTTTAATCTGCTCGTAAAAAAATAGACTATTCCGTTTTGATCGCGTGGAAAATGAGAAGAAATAAAGAAAGAAAGGGCATAAAGAAAAAGAAAAAGAAAAAAGAAAGAAAGAAAATTAGAGAAAGAAAGAAATATTCTTAGAGAAAGAAAGAAAGAAAGAAAGAGAGAAAGAAAGATAGAAAGGGAGAAAGAAAGAAAAAAGAAAGAAAGAAAGAAGTGTGTAATCTGATCGTAAAAATAGGCTATTCCGTTTTGATCGCGTGGAAAATGAGAAGAAAGAAAGAAAGAAAGGGCGAAAGAGAAAGGGCGAAAGAGAGAAAGAAAGAAAGAAAGGGCGAAAGAGAGAGAAAAAAAGAAAGAAAGAAAGAAAGAGGGAGGGAGAGAAATAAAAGAAAGAGAGAAATAAAGATGTGTTTAATGTCTGCTAGTAAATAATAGGCTATTCCGTTTTGATCGCGTGGAAAATGAGAAGAAAGAAAGAAAGAAAAAAAAAGAAAGAAAAAATAAAGAAAAAAAGAAAGAAAAGTCTCCAGACTTCACGCCATGTGACTTCTTCCTCTGGGGTTATGGGGAAGGTCTCGGTGTACCTAACTTCATTTCCAGAGACGTGAATGATCTGAAGACGCTAATAACTGAAGTCTTGGTAACCATCGACAATGCGATACTTGATGGCGATTAGCAAGAATGGGATTATCATTTAGATGTGTGTCGTGTAACCCACAGGGATCATTTTGAACGCCTGTAAAAACCTGTATAGAAACGTGGAAATATCAACCTTCAGGAATTATAAATTGGGTTTTGATATTCTCACCAGTTATTAAGATATACAGTGTCGTAATGTGACACAAACGTTTGAAACGGCCTGTAGAATAGCAAAAATATCACAACGTTTCGACTGTTGTAAGATTCCAGGCTTCTTCAAGTGTCTTTTGATTCGGATTACCATCTTGGAATTTTAATGTGCACCCTTTACTTTATCTACTATGGCAGATTGATCTCGTTCCGTTGTCCATGCATAGCGTTTTTTTCTGAAATCTTTTTCCGTCTTTTGGCAAAACTCGAAAGAATATTTCTTCGGTCATCTTGCGTGAAAACGAAAATCCGACGAGCGCGCACTACACGTCTGTGCTCTAGGCGTGACAGCCGGGGGAACTGACGCAGCCTACTGGTGCGAAAATACCTCACCTCTCACCCAAAGGATTAGTTTTGGCGTGAAAAAATAAAATTGGATACTTTTTGAGCGCACCTCGTGTAAAGTTTTAAGAGTAATTGTGACAGTTACTTTTCCCTTAGAAAAAAATCCCAGACGTAGGAGGGTCGGCTAAAAAGTTAATAAGCTGACAAAGATATTCTCATGGAATGTGGCCAAATGATGTTTATTTTTCAATATGGACTCCCTTGCTGTCCAGACACTTCGTAGTTCGCCTCTTGGAGAATTGGAAATCATTATTGTTGTAAAAATGGATTTTCTATAATAATTGTGAACGAAGGAAATCATGGCTAAATTCCAGACAGCCCTCAACATCTGAACCTAAAGCACATATAGCGTAGTCAAAAAGCTTTTTCCTGCATTTTTTGGGATTCAAAAGCAACTCTTTATTTCAAATCACCGTAACCAAGAGAAATCATTACTGTGCGATGCTACGACTAGAAGCAGAGACGTGTTCACATCCCGGGAAAACAATGACAAATTCCAGCCTGTGCAAAACACAGGGTAGAGATGGATCGAAAACTCAACCCAGGCCTCAAGGCCTTAGCGATCCATCGCTAAAGATGCAGGGGAAAATAGCCTGTTCCCTGTACCGCTGTAGTAAGTACCTGACTCCTCGTGCCATTTGTTGCAGTTTTTTGTGTATATGTATGTAACTAGTAAGTTGGCTCAAATGACTTAACTCTCTTTATAGTCCACCAATAGAAGGTTAACCAATCAGAAGACGTAGAATATTCAATCCGTCGTGTATAAAGGCGGCCATTTTTGTTCACTCTACTCGAATGTCCAGTACAGCTTGTCAGGCGAAGAGGAACAGAAGGACGAACTATGCTCTGCTACTTTTACCAAAATATCCACTGCTAACCTGAACAACGCTTTCCTACTGTCTTCGAAATATTCACTGCTAACCTCTGGATTCTATACTCGAAGACGACCGTCATCATGAATAACACCATTCTCTACTTTTATAAGAGCCAGATCAGACGTAAAATAGGTTACTGTTGTCATATTTGGGAAAGAGCTGCCCAGTCTGCAACTTTCTAATCCCGAAAAGTCCAAAAGCGTCTCCGCGTCCTTGTGGGTGATAAACCCCTCTTAGAACCACTCTTTCACAGACGAAACGTAGAAGGCTCTGACTTTTTTGTGGCTACTTCCATGGAAAGTGCTCATACGGACATCACCCCTTAGTTCCATTAGTTTTAGCCTTTAATAGCTAAGAACCGCCATGACACGCACGTTGTACTGAACAACAGTCACCTCCAAGTAACCCATTGCTTCCTGGTTGTAAAACAGACACCCCAAATACTTCAATCTCATCGGACAGGAGAATATCCAGATTTACAGTAACGAAGGAGGCAGTCTAATGCACACCTGTTTAAATTTTCATAGCACCAAATCCTGAGTTGCCTATGCATGGGGGGGTATCATTAGCAAGCATAGTTAATCCTGCCTTTTTTTTATGAAACTGACTCTTCATGTGCTTCAACCGTAAAACATTCTGTCCATAGTATCCTCAGTATCCTTCTGTAGAACCACATTTCTGTTGCTTCAAATCTCTTCTTCATCTTTGAGGAGATTATCCAGCATTCACTGTCATATAAGAGAACAGCTACTACGCAACAGTTCAGTACTCTTTTCGTTGTTTCTAACGAAGGGTTTTTCTGTCTTTTAGTACTCTGCTTAGCTTCTGAAAGGCATCTTTGGCTATCCTAACGGATCTCAGTGTCGCTCTTTCAGTCCTCTCTTAGAACATTTCCTCGATATTTAAATTATTGTACTTGACTGATTTTGTTATCCCCGATTTGTAATTTACATGTTGGGCTGTCCCTTTTGCTAACGACCCTGTCTTCTTGCAGTAGAAGTTGAAACCTTTCTTCTCGCTTTCTTTCAGTACATTTTGTAGGATTTTTTGTCGTTTTATTTCCATGTCTGTTATCAACACTGTGTCATCTAAATATCTTCCGTTGTTAAGATTGTGGTCTCCAATAATGAAACCTTGTAGAATCGCCATACTGTATAGATTGAATAAGTCCGGTGAGAAGACGTATCCTTGACTTACACTGATTTCTATTTTTGTAAAGTATTGATTTTGATGTCACACAGAAAACCAGCGTGTTAGACAAATATCTTTTGTTTTTATAGGCTTCCATATCAATCTGTAAAATAACAATTTAGACAGTATCGATTTCAGTGATTTTACAACCGTCGAAAGGCTTAAAAAATTTTGTAAAGAATATACAAGATAAGTAAAACCTTATATTTTCTTTCCTTCTCTCATTTTTTTAATTATTATTTTTCTCTCAGGAGGCGGCCGAAGCTCTCACTAGATGACAGCTCAGCTAAAGGACAACAAAGGAATTCCAAAAACGACAATTTTGGACAGGCCATCTAATCGCATAACATCCTACTGAGTCAATATATTAGACAAACAGGCGGGTATCTATCTATCTCTTGTTCTTGTAACGGCATTCACCCGGGGTGGGTTGAGCTGGCTCCAATATTGGAGTTTCATGGGAATTTGGAATTCACAAGCGGTCCCCAAACCCGCATGTATAGCACATGAGATTTGATTATAGTGGTGAAGGTTTCGTGCAGGACCATCCACACTTTTTGAAGGGCCGAATACAAGAGACCTGGTGCACTACGTGCCACAAGGTCCCCAATCGAACCTAGGCAGGTTTTGAATTCAGAGTTTTTCTTCTCCTACACCAGTTGCTATAGAACCCAGTCTGTCCTGCTATTTTACCCATAGCTGGAGGGAGAAGAGGATTCATACCTTTCCTAAGGCTATTAGCACGTAAGTGAATGTAATGGATTCGACTGGAATTCGAACTCGGCTCTCCGATTCCACAATCCAAGCCGCTATCCATTACTCCTCCGTGATGGTATCTATGCTTAATCCTATTTCTCATACTTTTTTCTCTCTATTTAAAAAAAAAAGTTTCAGCCGGTTCATTCTCCAACCCTTTTGTTGTAGCATACCTACAGAAGATAATGGGTACGTCCCCATTCACATAAATACAGTAGTAAATACTGTATGTTGATCTAGAGCTGTGCTGGTCAAACTCTCTGCTTCCAGGTAGATCGGATCCCCAGACGAGGCTATGTCAAATGGCAGAGTCTCGTCTAGGGAGACAGTTACCCGACACATTTAAAATGTAATCGTAAGACATTAGTGGCAATGGTGTCTTCATTTAGCTAATGCCATACTATTATGGGGGTAGCATTTCTGTCACACCCTGTATTAACCCACTTGTGTCTGTACCTGTGGAATTCTCTTAGTGTTGTATCATATCCGTCTTTGGATTTTAGTGTTGCACTTTCCACCCTCTATTAAAACACTTCCCAGATATTTAAATTTTTGTACTTGCTTCATTTTGGTATCTAATTTGTAAATTGCCTGTTGGGCTGTTCCTTTTTGCTAACAATCATGCATTCTGTCTTCATGCAATGGATGCTTAGTCCTTTCTTCTTGGACGATAAACTACATCCGCGTCCTGGGTAAGACGATAAACTACATCCGCGTCCTGGGTAAGACGATAAACTGCATCCTGCGGTGGGGCCTCTAGTCGGGAGGTTTCGAGGAGCGTGGAACCGTCTCTTGGTTGCTGGTGTTTCCCGGTCTGCCCTGGCCCGGGGTTGTGGCACCTGTTGCCATATCTATATATAAGTAAAAATACACACACACACATATATATATATATCTGTGTAGCTGGCTAGGCATAGTATTAGAAAAAAATCATCTTGTAGGGCATTTTAATCAATCTTACTGCAGACGCTTGCTCAGGCACAATTTTTAATTTTATCTTAACACATTCACGGAGACCACTTGTGATTTATACTGCAAATCTCTCTCTGTCTCTGTCTCTCTCTCTCTCTCTCTCTCTGTATATATATATATATATATATATATATATAGGTAAAAATCCGTGGATAAATAATCCAGGTGAATCCTAATAATATAAAATATTGAAACTGACCCACAAAGATAGCTCACTGCATTTATTACAAAGCA